CTCTGTTACCCCCGCTGGAGTGCACTAATGCAATCATGGCTCACTGCAGCCTTGAACTCCTGGGCTCAAGTGATCCTCCCACCTTAGCCTCCTGAGTAGCTGGAACTACAGGCATATGCCACTATGCCTGGCTAATTTTTGTTTTTGTGTTTTTTTGTAGAGATGGGGTTTCGCCATGTTGCCCAGGCTAGTCTTGAACTCGTGAGCTCATGCAATGCACCTGCGTTGGCCTCCCAGAGTTCTGGGATTATAGGTATTAGCTGCTGTGCCCAGCCAGTTTGCTAGTAGTATTTTATTAAGGATTTTTGCATCTATGTTCATTCAGGGTATTGGCCAATAGTGTTCTTTCTTCATTGTGTCTTGGCCAGGTTTTTGTACCAAGCTGATGCTGACTTCACAGAATGAGCTGGTGATATGGTTTGGCTGTGTCCTCATGTGTCAAGGGTGGGGCCAGGTGGAGATAATTGAATCATGGGGACAGTTTCCCCCATACTGTTCTCATGGTAGTGAGTAAGTCTCATGAGATCTGATGGTTTTATAAATGGGAGTTCCCCTGCACAAACCCTCTTGCCTCCCCTCATGTAACATGTGCCTTTGCTTCTCCTTTGCTTTCCGCCATGATTGTGAGGCATCCCCAGCCATGTGGAACTGTGAGACCATTACATCTCTTTTTCTTTACACATTACCCAGTCTCGGGCATGACTTTATTAGCAGCATAAGAACTGACAAATACAGCTAGGGAGGAGTCCCTTCTCCTGTATTTTTTGGAATAGTTTCAGTAGAATAGGTACCAGCTCTTCTTTGTACTCCTGGTAGAATTCAACTGTGAATCCATCTAGCCTGGAGTTTTCTTGGTTGATAGTTTTATTTTAATACAGCATATCAATTTCAGAAGTTGATATTGGTCTGTTTAGTGTTTCAATTTCTTCCTGATTCAATCTTAAGAGACTGTGTATCTCTAGGAATTTTTCCATTTCTTCTGGATTTTCTAGTTTGTGTGCATAGATGTAGTCATAATAGTTTCTGATGATCTTTTGTATTTCTCTGGGATTAGTTGTAGTGTCACCTTTGTTGTTTCTGATTGTGCTTATTTGTATCTTCTCTCTTTTTTTTTCTTTGTCAATCTAGCTAGTGGTCTATCAATCTTGTTTATCCTTTCAAAAATCCAAGATCTGCTTTCACTGATTCTTTGAATGGATTTTTGGGTCTCAATTTCATTCAGTACTGCTCTCATTTTAGTTCTTTCTTTTCTTCTACTAGCTTTGGAATTAGTTTGATCTTGTTTCTCTAGTTCCTTTAGGTGTAATATTAGATTGTTAATTTGAGATCTTTCTAACTTTTTGAGTTAGGCATCTAGTGCTATAAGCTTTCCTTTTAACACTGCTCTTGCTGCACCCCAAATATTTTGGTATGTTGTGTCTCTGTTTTCATTTATTTCAAATAATTTTTTAATTTCTTCCTTGATTTTGTTGTTTGCCCAAAAGTCATTCAGGAGCAAGTTGTGTAATTTCCAAATGTGGTTTTAAGAGATCTTTTTGGTATTGATTTCTATTTTTATTCCACTGTGGTCTGAGAGTATGGTGGGTATAATTTTGATTTTTTAAAAAAATTTATTGAGACTTGCTTTATGGCCAAGCGTATGGTTGATTTTGAAATATGTTCTGTGTGCAGATGAGAAGAATGTGTATTCTGTCATTGATCAGTGGAGGATTCTGTAGATGTCTATTAGGGCCAAATGGTCAAGTATCAAGTTTAAATCCAGAATTTCTTTATTAGTTTTCTGCCTCAGTGATCTGTCTAATGCTGTCAGTGTGTTGTTGAAGTCCCCAACTATTATTGTGTGGTTGTGTGAGTCTTTTCATTGGTCTAGAAGTACATTGTACATTTTTATAAATCTAGATGCTCCGATGTTGGGTGTGTATATATTTAGTAAAGTCTTCTTGTTGTATTGAATTCTTTATCATTGTGTAGTGCCCTTCTTTGTCTTTTTTATTGTTGTTGGTTTAAAGTGTGTTTTATCTGATATAAGAAGAGTGATTGCTTTTTTTCCTAGTTTTCCATTTGTGTAGTAGATCTTTCTCCAACCCTTTACTTTGCACCTATGGGTGTTATGATGTGTGAAATGGGTCTCTTGAAGACAGCAGACAGATGGGTTTTTTTTTTTTTTTAATCCAATTTGCCACTCTATGCCTTTTAAGTGGGGTGCTTAGGCCATTTACATTCAAAGTTAATATTGACATGTGAGGTTTTGACCCTACTGTGAAGTTGATACCTGGTTGCTTTGTAGCTTCTATTGTGTGATTGCTTTATTGAGTCTGTTGGCTATGTACTTAACTCTGTTTTTGTGGTAGCAGGTATTGCTCTTTTGTTTCCATGTTTAGAATTCCCTTAACGATTTCTTGTAAGCTGTTCTAGTGGTTAAAAAAAATAAAATAAAAAAATAAAATCCCTTAGCACTTGTTTGTCTGGAAAAGATTGTATTTCCCTTTTCTTATGAAGCTTAGTTTGATGAGATATGAAATTCTTGGTTGGAATTTCTTTTCTGTCAGAATACTGAATACAGGCCCCCAATCTCTCTTGGTTTATAATGTTTCTTCTAAGAAATCTATTGTTAGCCTGATGGGGTTCCTTTAGTATTTTTTTCTCTAACTTTCTTCAAGATTTTTTCTTTATCATTGACCTTGGACAGCCTGGTGACTGTATTCCTAGGTGATGTTCATTTTGTATAGTATCTCACAGGTGTTCTCTGGATTTTTTTTTGAATCTGGATGTCTATCTCTCTAGCAAGATTAGGGAAATTTTCTTGAATTATTCCACCAAATATATTTTCCAGGTTGTTTATTTTTTCTCCTTCTCTCCCAGGAATGCCAATAATTCATAAATTTGGTTGCTTTACATAATCACATATTTTTTGAAGACTTTCTTCCTTTTTTAAACTTCTTTTTTCTTAATTTTTGTCTGACTGTGTTAGTTCAAAAGACCAGTCTTTAAGCTCTGAAATTCTTTCTTCTGCTTGGTCCAGTCTACCAAATGTAGTTTTCTTATGCTGCATTTGCCATTCTAGGGAATGGTGTTCAGTGTCAATAGTCAAGAAAACCTCACTGGCTACCTTACATAGATTTTGTCTTAATTTTGGTCTCTACCTTTCCCCCCTAATTCAGAAAATGAGTCTTGGGGAGCTGGCACATCATGAGGGATCAGGAACCATGAGCAATTATCTAGACCAGGAATGTCCCACATGACCTGCAATTACCAGTTAATGTAATGGCTGAGTGGTGGTCTCTCAGGTGAACAAAGACATTCTGCAAATAGATTTATATAATTCAAAGGGCCTTTACAAGCTAGAAAAGGGAAGGAACAGATCCTCCCCCAGAGCCTCCAGAAGGAATGCAGCTCTATCTATACCTTGATTTTCACCCTATGAGACCCATTTCAGACTTTGACCCCAGAACTGAAAGACGATAGATCTGCGTTGTTTTAAGCCTTTAAGTTTGTGGTAATTTGTTATAGCAGCAGTAGGAAACTAATACACAGAAACTAATACACAGAAGAATGTGTTGCAGGAAAGGGTGGACAACAAAGGCAGAGAGTAGGTAACAACCCATTGGGACACTCACGGTTGAGCTGGCATCTCCAGATCCTGTCCCTGTCTGAGATATAAAGTATCTCAGACCCCCTCATATTGCAGATAAGGAAACAGAGGCCCAGGGAATTTGCCACCTTCATGAAGTCACGTGGCTAGTTAATAATAGCTGCTGACAACATTGAGAAATTCCTCTATGCTAAACACAATTCTTAGTCCTTAGCATGTATTTACTCATGAAGTCATCGGCATAACCCTAAGGCAGCAGCCCTCATTCTTATCCTCATTTTACAGATTAAGAGACTGAGGCATAAGTATGTTAATGTCATGAAGATACTAAATAGGGTGCTAACAGTTTGCACCCAGGCATTTCTGCTCTGGAATGTACTCTCTTTACCACCAGACATAGTGACAGAAGAGGAGCCTGAGGTCTTGGGTGCCAGTCCAGTATCCTACTAACTTCTAAAGAGTTACTTGATCTCATTTTCTCTTGACAACTCTGAAATCTGTAGGTCATTCCCATTTTAAGTGAAGAAAACAAGTCACCAAGACTAAGAGATGTGCCTAAAGCACTCATCTGGTCAGCTGCAATTACAAGCCTCTTGACTCCCATCTCTTGGTAGTTTCCCCCAGTCCCTCTGCTTGTGGCATCATGAGAGACACAAAAGATAAATGACAGAGTTTCCGCCATCAGCAAGTTTATGGGTTATCTTGGGCTAAATTTGAATGTCACTTTTTTCAGTTCCATCCTCAGGGCAAGACTACTCCTGAGGCCTTGATCAATAACTGTTTGTTCTCTGGAGCAATCTGACATTGCACAGAGGAGAAGCTTGGAACAAAGTAAGCAATCAGCGTACTGAGCTTCCTCCGCCAGGGGCAGCTTTAGAACATCTGTGTAAGAGAAGCTTCAGCCACATATTTGGAAGAGGCTGTAGCACCTAAGGGTGGTATTATAGCCAACATAATGTATTTAGTTAGAGTGTATTTTTACTTGGGGAATTTTGAGGAGGAGCTGATAGAGATTTGGGGGATTGACTAAAACTCCCCCAAATCACCCCTTGAAGTACCACTTCCCCATGTAAACCCCTGTATGTTGCAGCTCAGAAAGAGGAATATACAGTTCTTGCCACCAAGAAGCTTACTCACTATTTGAATGTGGTCAATTTTTTTTTCTTTTCTCTTTTTTCTTTAGACAGGGTCTTACTCTGTTGCCCAGGCTGGAAAGCTATAGTGCAATCATAGCTCACTGCAACCTTGAACTCTTCTCTCAGGCAATCTCAGCCTCTTGAGTAACTGGGACTACAGGCACACACCACCAATACCAACTAATCTTAAAATTTTTTGTAGAGATAGGGGCCTGCTGTATTGCCCTGGCTTCAAGCGATCCTCCCACCTCAGCCTCCCAAAGCGCTGGGATTACAGGTGTGAGCTACCTCATCCAGCCTGGATGTGTGGTTTAAAAGAATCCAGAGAACAAACAAAAGGCCTAACAAATTTGGGCAGTGCAGACATGGGCCACCTGCAGGTGAGAGCAATAGGTGCCCGGAGGACAGCCCATGTCTATGGCTTCAGGAAAGTCTCATGGGAAAAATGAGGCTTTGAAGTATGAATGAGTAGGTGAGGGGCAAGTGTGATCGTAGGTGGAGAAAAAGAATGGGTGAGAAAATTCAAATAGACATATTTGAAGACAGTTCACTGGGCAGATTAACTGGTGAAAAGGAAGGTATGATATCACTTATGTTGGTTATCACTGGATCATTCTTTCAGTCAACAAATATTTATTGCTCACCTACCAAGTGCCAGGCACTATATTAGATACTAGGGACCCAGCAGTAAATAAATCATGCGCCCTAAAAAGTAAGGAGTGTTGCTCTGATTCAGCTCCGGCAGCAAAGCTCGGCTCTTCATTTCTGCCTACAGAGAGGATTCCCATTTCAGGCCATTCCTGCGTGCAGACACACCTGCCCTCCCCCTGCCATTGCACAGCTCCTCTGATGCGAGGGCAGACACAGGAGACCGGTGATCGTCTCTGCTTGAATAAATTACCGCCCCATCATCTTCATGCATAAAACATGGCACAGGAGGCTAGGGCAGCCCAGCACAGCAGCTGCCTTCGGGCCAGTCGGGAGTTAAGGGAAGGAAAGGCAAGACAAGTTACAAGATAAAAGAAGTGAACGGAAGCCTCAAATACTTTTTTTTTTTTTTTAAAGAAAAGAAAAAAAGAGGGGGTGTTTTCTTTTTCAATTTTTTACGTCTGGACTTAACTTCCGTGATCGCTGCAAGACCCTTTTGTTCCCTTGCCATGAGCAGGTTTTAGGCCGCTCTCTTGGGACCATGGTGTTACCTTCGCGATTACACTGGATCAGAAACAGGCCATGGAGGGACAGGATCCGGAGGCGCCAGCTCAACCGTGAGTGTCCCGATGGGTTGTGACCTACTCTCTGCCTTTGTTTTCCACACTTTCCCGCAACACACTCATTTCTTGCCCTCTGCAAATCTTCTCCAATCTCACCCCTTTCCTCCTCTCTTCCACCTTCCTGCGCTCCCTTTTCCAATGGACTTTGGTATTTTTTACCGACTCTCTCTTCCTATTTCCTTCCCAGCACTATCCTAATTCGAGGTAACTAGATACATTTTGTTTCAAGTGGTGAGCAAGACAGGGCCACAGGGCCTCTTTTCTTTATTTCTCCAACTAGATGGAAAATACAAATAAATATTTACATTGATCGAGGAGTCATGTGAATTGGAATTTTTATTACAGTAGGGAAAAAAATGGAACATCTGAATCAAACAGGTTATCAGCAGTGTAGCTCGATAAGGTGAAATTCAAGGATCAGTGAGTCATATTTCCTTCAAACGACCCAATTGTATGCTTCTTAAATTATCAAACTCACAACTGTGTAGACAGGAACTCTAACCAAAAGGGAGTTTTTAGCATTGGAGTAATCTGAGAATGAAAAAGCATTTCAAATGTATGCCAAAACCATTTCTCATAAACAAGTAACAAATTCGTGTGTGTCTGTTCTTAGAGATGTTTATTTATCTCAGATGTCAGCAAATTCAAATGGGTGGAGGGGCTGGGCTGCTGAGAAGACTGAGTGAAAGGTATCTGTTTTCAGGGGTAACGAATAGTTCACTTTCTTCCTGTCTCTGTTGTGAGAAAAATGATAGTGAAACCACGATGATAAATAACAACTGACATTTGGCCTCAGTATGAGGTAGCAATAGGGAGTGGTAGAGAGTACAGCAAGTGAGAAAATATGTGTCCCATCATAGTGGGACACCCACCATTCAATGCCATCAGATTGTTTCCATGGGGAATGGGGTACAGGTTGGTAGATTTTCCAATTTTTCAAAAAAAGTGGGCGGATGCGGTAGCTCATGCCTGTAATCCCAGTACTTAGGGAGGCCAAGGCAGGCGGATCATGAGGTCAAGAGATCAAGACCATCCTAGCCAATATGGTGGAATCCTGTCTCTACTAAAAATACAAAAATTAGCCAGGCGTGGTGGTGGACGCCTGTAATCCCAGCTACTGGGGAGGCTGAGGCAGGAGAATCACTTGAACTCGGGAGGCGGAGGTTGCGGTGAGCCGAGATCGCGCCATTGCATTCCAGCCTGGGTAACAAGAGTGAAACTCTGTCTCCAAAAAAAAAAAAAAAAAAGCAGGAAATACTAATTTCTATGTGAAAGCTCTCAAGTTTAAATGTTGGCAGTTTATTCTTTGAATTTTAAATATATAACATCAATGTTCTGAGGCAACGTGTGACAACTGTGGATCACCAGTAGCCAAGCCCTGGTTTATGTGCTAGGTGTTGTTCTCATTAGAAGTCCATCACACAGGCCGGGCGCGGTCACTCATGCCTTTAATTCCAGCACTTTGGGAGGCTGAGGGGGGCAGATGACCTGAGGTCAGGAGTTCAAGAACAGCCTGGCCAACATGGTAAAACCCCATCTCTACTAAAAATACAAAAATTAGCTGGGCGTGGTGGTGGACACGTGTAATCCCAACTACTCGAGAGGCTGAGGCTGGAGAATCGCTTGAACCCAAGAGGCAGAGATTGCAGTGAGCAGAGATCGTGCCATTGTACTCCAGCCTGGGCGACAAGAGCAAAACTCCATCTGAAAAAATAAAATAAAATAGAAGTTCGTCACACAGTGTTCTTTATGCCTAGTTACACGTTGGCAATTCTTCCTTACGTGTTACAAGCCCCTGGTATAGACAGTTAAATTAAGATGAATGAGTGGCTTAGGAACATGTATCCAACATAGTCACAGTCTACTAGTTTTGGAGGCAAGCTGGGCTGGTTGGTTTCCAAATGACAATTCAAAGACAAGGAAATAATTTACATCAAGCAAAATACTTCCTTTTCTTTGATATAATTAAAGAAGCCATCAGTTTTCTCTGGGCCTTTACTTTCTTGATCATGTTTCTTTTACTTGCGTGTACCTTAAACTCCAGTTTTTGTGAAACTTCATTCTATATCTATAGGAAAATAGTTGTGATCCTACAGTTTTAATACAATATCTCCATTATGGAATCCGTCACTGAGAAAAGCTGGATTATTGATCTACATGGTTTCACTAGTATGGATGGGAAGTTGGTCTATACTCTTAAGAATTATGAGAAAAGCCTGGTTTACTACAGACATTTCACTTAAATTTTGAGACTAACATCTGACTATTGTGCTGATTTCTGCATGGTTTTAATATGAAATGATATATTAATAGATGTTGAATGTAAGCTCAACATTAAGCAGGCTGGTCCTGAACCTCTTTGGCATAGTGTCTAAGGAGGGAATTCTGATATTCTTACAGGATGGTCAAGAACCCTGCTGCATGAGAGTCAGTGTGAGTTAGAAATAGGAACAAGATCAAGTGACATTTTTGGAGGGTTGCGTTTTTAACTCACAAAAGACCTGTACGTGTTTGCAGGCAGCAAATTAAAGAAAGTGGAAAGGGAGAAAGAGTGAAGACACCTGTGAGGGAAGGCAGCCTATCACTGCAAATGTCAGTCTGCAAGGGTGGCCCTCAGCAATATTTTGCAACTGCTAAAATCTGCTTTGCTAACGTTTCCTTTCTTCTTTCTCTGAAGCTTTTCTCATAGGTCAGCGTTTCCTCCAACTTGGAGACTCAAGTTATATAATCTTTTGGGGTTATTCTGTCCTTAAGAAAAATAAGTTAGTAAACCCCTTTCATTTAAATACACAGAGGGACCTTGAATTGCGATAGGAGGGACATGTGCTACCACTCTCCATTTCCATGCCCATGCAGACATTGCTAATCAACCACAGCTTTCTCTTTATCCCCCAAGGAGACCAGGCCCTGCCTTGGAATCTTTTCTAATATAGTGTCTTAAGGTGCCATGTCTAATCAATTAGAAATTGTCTCACTGGTTGAAATTTATATTTGTTTTCTAGTGCTTTGTAACAAATTACCACAAGTTTATCGCCTTAAAACAACATACATTTTTTATCTCACAGTTTCCATGGGCATAAATTAGCTGGATTCTCTGCTCAGGGTCTCCCAAGGCTGCAATCAAGGTGTCCTCTGGGGCTGCAATCTCATCTGAGGCTCAGGGTCTTCTTCCAAGCTCAATGGACAGAATTTAGTTTCTTGCAGTTGTAGGCCTGAGGCCTTCAGCATCTAAAGGCCACCCATTGTTCCCTGCCACATGACCCTCTCCAGAACATGGTAGTTTGCTTCCTCAAGGCCAACAAGTGTCTTTTGCTGCTTATAGACTCTTCTTTAAAGGGCTCACCTAATTAGGTCAGGCCCACCCAGGATAATCTCTTTTGATTAGTTAAAAATGGACTGATCAAGGACTTTAATTACATTTGCAAAATCCCTCATTTTGGCCATATAACATAATCTAATCACAGAAGTAAAATCTCATCATATTTATACCCAAGGTGCAAGAATTATACATGGCCTATATGCCAGTGGGCAAGAATCATGGGGCCATCTTCGAATTCTGCTTACTACAAAACCTAATTGTCATCTTTGCAATAGAACTTCGATTTTGAGCTACTGGAAAGCTTTAAGTTTTTTTGTTTGCTCATTTGTTTGTTTTTGTTTTACTTTTTATTATGAAAATTTTCAAACATTCAGTAAAGTTGAGAAAATAGTATAATGAATCTTATGTATCTATCACCTAAATTTAACAATTATTAACATTTTGCCATATTTGCTTCATCTAATTTCCTATTGAAACATTTAAAAATAAATCAGACATTATGACATCTCCACACTAAATATTTTAGTAAGAGCGTCTCTAAAATATAAGGACATTTTTCTACATAACTGTGTAATAAAATTAACAATGATCCCCACATATTATTTAATACCCAGACTATATTCAAATATCCCCAGGTAAGAACCAATCCTTAATATGCTCTGCATGCCTATAACCCTTAGCAAAATACCTGGCACCTCATCTACTCAATAACCGTCTGGGTTCCATCAAAATTAAACTCATATTAAAGTGATGGATCCCAAAGTCCATCTTCCCTAAGCCTTCCTCACTTCTTCCTTTTACCCCCAGAATCTGTATTTAAATATTTAGATTATTTTCTTTTTTAGTCCATAGCAATATAGTGGAAAAAAAATAATAATCAAATCAAGGTATGAGAACAGTAATATGTTACCCATCTTAGGGATATTTGAATTTTAAAAGAGGCCAAAGATCACTGCAAAGACACACATGTGTGACACTGAGCAGACATTCGGGAGAAGGACCTATCTGGTGTCCTGTAAACCCTGTCAAACTGCTTACCTGTGACCTGCCCAGGTAAAGAGGAGTACAGACAGAGCAACAGCTCCGTGGGTACCTGGGCCTTCCACATGATGACAGCAGGGTCAGGGCAGGGCATGGGAATGAGGGGCGGGTACAGATAACTGAGCGCCCTGAGAGCCTTTCTTTCCTTTAGTCTGCCACAGTTGGGGTGGGGGATTAAAGGAAAGAAACCCTAAATAGTATATAAGCTTTGACAACCGGGAGATTTGGCTTCAAATCCTGTTTCTATAACTTCTTAGCTGTTGGCCTGTGGGCAATTTATTCCACCTCCCTGAGTGCCCACTTCCTCAACCTTAAAACGGTTATTACAACAATACCAAACCTCCCAGTGTCATTGGGGGGGGATTAAAAGACATAAAATGTCAAATGCCTAGCACAGTTCCTGGCAATGTAGCTATTGGGAGCTGAGGGCCTAAAATTGGTAATAGTGGCATTTGAGGCAGTATGAAGGGCTTACCATTGCCACCTGCACATTTTTTCACAAAATAATTGGAGAAATGTCATACTGGAGAAGGTATCCCCATCTTCCTCAGCGATGCACCTCACCCTCACATTCAGCTGGCTTGCACCACACCACACAGGAGGCAACACAGATACACTAGGGAAAAACCAATCT